CACAGCTATATTGGTGGGAGTTGGAAACCCACCAATATAGCTGACAGAGGTGGTTGTAGCGTGAATGTATCTTGATCTCAGGAATACTAAAGAAATGAGTAGGAAGGTACATCGGTCCAAAAGTGGCAACAGCTGGAGAAATTACAAATCAGTTCTCTTGATATTTGTTTAATTGGTAAAGTAAATGAAATATGTATAAGGCATGTATTATGCAGATGTAGTTCCATCCTATTCATCGAGAAATTACCGTTCTTGTTTACCAACAAATAACGCATATTTCACTATAACGGAAAATACACTTGGTAGGTAATTATCATATTATTAATTAGAGACACCTGTAACCCTTCTTCAAGAAAATAAATGTTCATTCGTTTTACCTTTAGACAAACAAGGCAATGCAGGAGGCTGGACAACTCCAAAAGGGGCGCCCAGATGATGTTTCTATTGAGATACGCTACTCTGGAGGCACCGAGCACGATGTGAGGTTCTGGTTGGGGTATAGGAGAGACCTGGACTTCTGGTGGAGCGTTCAGGAGGGAAAGGATCTCGGCCACAAGATGGCAAATGCTTTCAAGGATGCATTCTTAGACGGGACTGAAAGTGTCATATTGGTACGTAGACTGTCGCATGATCATCGTGCGCTCACATTTGTTGTAGGCGGCCGTCATGTGCGATTTCTTGTGTCGTAGAATTTTCAGGAACCAGCTGCCGACAAGGATGATACCCTTATTCTGAATTCTACGTACTCGCCTGAAATATGAATATAAGACGATGATGAAGATGACAGATGGTCATTGAAACGTCGTCTCTTGTTACACAAGTGGTTGTGAAAAAAAAACCTTGCTATTGTTCGTCTCTTCTAGGTGGGCACAGACATACCCGCCCTTACCAGGGATGTCCTCGAAGAGGCATTTTGTACATTGGAGGTCACACGTGAAGAGGACACATGTGTCCTTGGGCCTGCTAAAGATGGCGGCTACTATCTCATCGGCCTGAATCGAAGCACATCCGTACATGTCATAGGTTAGTGCCTTGTCCTGACGTTTGCCAACAATGACCACATTTGACGGCTGTGCCCAATACAATATGGGTTTCACGCAGGGGCAAAACGCAATGCACCTGGGCGAAACCCATAATGTATTACTCTAAAGTATTACTAAAAAATTTCACTGAAAAGAACGAAACATCTAAAGTGGCGATAGTCTAGATGTTAGACCAATAACACGCTAGGCCCAGGGTTAGTATAATTTCCTTCATTGCATGTTGGTCTTGGAGCCTGGCTACGAACACCCTGACTGGTGACTTTTAGACAAGCACATTTCTTTTGCTCCCCAGGTGAGCTATTTCAGGAGATCGCATGGGGAACAGACAGTGTGCTTCAGCAACAGGTACGGGCGGCAGAACGACTGGGAATGAGCTGCAGCCTGTTGCCCCTCATGCTACAAGATGTGGTGAGTTGTCTAAAAGTTAAAAAAAATATATACCAATTGACATTTTCTTCACACCTTTTCCAAATTATGTTAATCTTATAACAGTACCTGACTATATAACGACAACAAACTAGCCTCCTTCGCAGTCTTGTTGGGCGTGGGCGTAATTTTTTCTCTGAGCGACGCGAGTAATATGCCGCCGCGAGGGACGATTTACCTCCGACTATTTAGCTATACGACTGAAGCAAAGAAGCAAGCTTTCTTATCAATAGGGTGCATACGCGTGAACGCCATAGCTTAGTGAGACCTGGGAGAGTCATTCCTATATAACATATTATAAGTTTGCATGTGCATATATATAAAGTCATGATTACGTGATTGTATTTGCTTCGAAGAAGGTAAACACAATGCTCTGTCTCTACTTATTTTGCTTCTCCAAACACACAAGGTCAATGACCTGGACCAGACGTCTGTCACCATGGCAACATGTTGTAGCAGACACCCTGTGGTGTTGGATTACATTATGTAGCAGGACAGAGCGAGGAGGGCTGGTCACCACAGACCAGTACATGCATATATGTTGAAGAAAGAATAATCAGAGCAGTAGTTTGTTAGGCTAAGCTTAATGACTTGTTGTTGAAGACCTACTTTCTTACTCCATTGAAAATACAGTCATTACAATTTCGTCATGTCTGATGTACTAATCAATCAACGTCAGGAAGAGGTGTCCAGATGAACACCGGTACCCAGCATGCATCGGGTGACTACTTCCTGTTCCTGCACGCCGACACCTGTCTGCCGTCGTCATGGCAACGCGGTGCTCACAGGACTCTGTCCAGACCCGGGGTGTCGATGGGAGCCTTCCGTTTCGGCCTGAAGGATCCATCAACCGAAGGATCAAGGAACGACAGGTACCGTTGTCGTCCTCCATACTCTGCATATGACGACCGCCTCATTTTCAAGCGTGTGTCGGAAAACATTTTTTAGGCGATAACTAGCGAGAAATCTTGGTGGAATCAGTTCACCATTGACTTTGACAGCATGGCAATTTTTGGGCCATTTAACCGCTGGGTTACTCTGGCTCAGTGGGACAGTCTGTTGTAGAATTGGAGGAAATTTTACCGCGGTTTTCTTGTTCCCTGTGTTGTCCTGTACGTCGACATGCTTTTTGTTTAAGACGACCACTTGTATTAGAACACCACTTTTCCTCGGTCCCCTCAGCCCCCCTGTGTGATAGTCTTAGACAAATTTGACTGTACCTGAACGTTAGGCCAGACCATGTGAAGGTATTATAAAACATTTTGTATAAATTTGCTTAACTTTATAGTTTCTGTTTGCTCCTGCAGTGATAGCTGGTGGTTCCGACTGCAGATGAGATTTTTGGTGTGGAATGCCAACTTCAAATCAACGCGCTTTGGTAAGAAAATATCAGTTCAGCATTTTCCTGGATCTTATATTTATTATATATTACAATTTAAAAACGTCCAGACACTTAACGCTTTCTCCATGGTTCCGACTGGATTGTGTCGCTTGTACCCTGCGTTACCCATAATTCCGTTATCCTTACTCGCCCTTTTCCCATTCCCATGATGCATAGTACCAGTGGGTAGATATACGATATGTTGTTAAAGTTTACAGATGGTTTTCTGTGTGTATTTTGTGGTGTTGGAGCATTTTTGTCTCTATGTATCCTGGGAATGGAAAAACGTGAATGTTTTGGGTGGCTGAGTCAGGGGTTTGTGTATCTGTGTGCCCGGGCAGAGTAGGTTGATAGCACGTGGGTGGATTGACAGGCAGAATGTCTGGTTTGAATGTAAAGCAGCCAGCAGGCATTTAGGCCACGGTCACATTTCCAAGCCGGGGCCCGGCCGGGTTGTTTGCGTGAACGAAAAAGAAACAATTTGTACAAAGAGTATACACAAATAGTACTCAAGGTTAATTTTCTAAAACATTTTTTGTTTTGCTGTCTCATATCATAATTTTCGTTCCAAACGACTGCCCGGCCGGGCCCCGGGTTGGGAAATGTGACCGCGCCTTTAGTGGTCGACATGGGGAAATTCAGGAGGCCGAGGTAGGAGATTGCATACTTCCCGGAAGTTGGAAATTTCCGATGTCTTGTTTTTCAGAGCTTCCGTACGGTGACCAGGCCTTCTTCATGACGAGGAGACAATTTCTGGAAGTTGGAGGCTTCCCAGAATTTCGTCTTCTGGAGGATGTCAAGATGGTGGCGATGATGAAACGCCATGGTCACGTGGCCATAGCAGAAGGCGAGCCTGCGCTGACATCTGACCGGAAATGGAGGCAGCACGGTTATTTTAAGGTAAAGGATCTACTAGAACTTAAGGTCTCGTTGATGAGTTTTTCGTTACTTCGGCTAATGTATGAATGCGTGTCTTACATGACCGCGTTCCTAATGAACTTACAAGAACAGCATGAAAGTTCATCTGAGTTGGTAAATTACATTATGAAAAACCTAAACTGTTCTCCAACTCAAAATTTGACTCACCAGAAATTTTCGACTGAATCACTCAGTCTTCCTCAGCTATCTGACCCAAATGCTGTGGACACGTGATTTTTCCCACGTGTGACGTCAGCAAAGGGTCAAAGGTTGTCTGAAGTCGATATCGCCCCCCGTCCCGGGGGACAGAACTTACAAGAAGTCAGTGGCAACAAAACGGCGTACGTAATGGGATCAGTAAAAATTCCGTGCGAAGTTTATAGGGCGGCATACCTACGCGGAGCTAGATTTCATGACTTTTCTCACAATACTCACTTCTTACAGTAACAGGGCACTCAACGATTCAATGTTTTCCACATCTACAGGTGACGGCGCGGAACATTTTGGTGATGCTGGCCTACAGACTCGGGGTGCATCCAGACACACTTGCAGGGTGGTACTACAGTCCGGTGTCAAGTGACAAATAAATGCCCCCGACAGCCCGGTTTCAAGCCATCTACCATGGTCCTGCCAAATACTGATTGACTCCGGAACTACTTGGGGGCTGCCAATATGCATGAGTCTAGGGGTGGGAGGGGTTTAGTCGTGATGTGGGAGACTAAACCTAACCTAACCTAACCTAACCTATTCGTACGCGTGAACAATGATCCCAGCCCTAACTATATTATTTTATTACTCTAATACCAAACCTAACCCCAACCCTGACCCTAAACACCTGATTTCTCACGTATGTAGAAGCTCAAGTATTTAACTCAACACCGGTGTCCAGTCTATCTTGGTTGGGACAGGCTCTTTGGCGGGGTTCTAATAATTTTACCCGCCGCCCTGCTCAAGTGACCGCGCGGTTTTTATTTGATGGACCCAATGCTATACTCTCTATTATATACCTGAGATAAGGGTTAGGAGGGGGTTGGCCGCGATGCGGAACAACACAGATAAACGACACACATAAAACGAGATGACAAGAAAGTTAACCATCAGCAAAATTAATTTATTTCCGATGCTATGACAAATTGAATTCACACCACGTAGTTAAAGTTATTGGGAGAATGCCAATGTTGTCTGAAGTGTGTAGCTGAATAACACATTTAATTTTAGAAAGAACGAATTCATTTCCCTCCTCTCAATTAGAATATTAGCTTTACATCAGATACAAATATGCACTGTAGACAATATGCATTACCAACAGGAAACGAAAGTATACAATATAATGATATATGATTATATACGTTGTACAATGTTGCTTAAATATACACTTACAAGCAATACGATACATCTCAAAGTGTAAGAAAAAAAGGTATATTTCATACACATAACAACAATATGTGGATACATTATAACGCGTTGGAATAGTTTTTAATTTATTTAATGACTGATATTTTCAAGGCCTTGAGGAACAGTCCCTGATCTGACCCGCCACCATTCTGTGAGCCGTGCACTCGCCAGACACGCGGCTGTAACAGTTACACTGCAGCGATCTCAGTCCGCGTCCACGTGTTCTCTCACATCGGAGGACCTTGTCTCTGCCCGGCCGTACTGAGGACACACCTTGGCCACCCCGTATGGTTCAACCGTCTCATCGTTTTGATGGGAATCATTTATCGTCGAGTAATACGGATCGGCTATTGTGTCACTCACGGAGTTTTCTCTCTGATTTTCAGGGACACTGGCGTCATTATTTCGCTGCTGCTGCCCACCCTCTTGTTCACTCACCGTTTCGTCCTCAGTAATGCTGTATCGTCTGTTCTGTAGATAAATACAGGCTGCAAAAATGAGTGCAAAGGGAACAGTACACATGCCACTCGCGATGAAATAGTTAGGATGTAAACGTTTGTGGGTTTCCGATGGGAGCAAGATGACATAGTCATCTTCATCCACACTGTTACTATTGGTCCGTATTGATGTCGGTACGCGGGTATAGACCTCATATAGGCTAGTCGCGATTTCTTTACTTGTCTGGGTGTTGTCAACTTTTGCTTGAGAGGTATTGTCTGATTGTACAACACTTAAATAATATGTCAATGTTGCGACATCATCATCTGGGGGTGTGGGAGGGTAGGACAGAGACATAAGGCCAGGTGATGCAGTTTTAGCTTGACTCTTTGATTTGTTGGAAAGGAGAGTCACGGAGAGTTCCCTGCGAGCTACCATGTCACTAGAGAACGACTTCACACCACAACGGATAGACAAACCGTTCCACTTATGAACCAGGCGTTCTGGCAAAACTAACACAGACACCGTCCTGACGGCATAGTTCGTAGCGGTCAGACCGTGTGAGCAATGTGTAGTCACAATTGACGTAGTCTCCCATGTCCATCCACAAGCACTTATGCCGTGTTGGAATGAAATGTTGAAGTGCTGAGATGTCAGGTTGGCGTTTCTTTCGTCCTCACTTAAACCCGGCAATACAATAGTAGTGTTATCTGGTAGGACCCAAAAGACACTGCTCTCTTCTTCCTCCCAAGTCGCCTGGCACCGAAACTGTAAATCATGATCATCAATGTCCTGCGTAATCTTCACCACTGGCGAGGGGCATGGCAAGTGGGCAATGGAAAATATGTCTTCGCCTTCCATGCTCAGTGGGTACTTGCAGAAGAAAGCCGTAGGGACTATCTCAAACTTCATCTTACCCCTCCTAACGAACCAACGATTGGCGCAGGTACACCGTAAGGCATTTTGACTGTACAACAGCACACCTTTGTATCCAAAACCCGGGCTTAGCCCGCGTAGCCAAGATTCCCACAGAAAAACCAACTCGTTATCCCTTATTTGCAAAGTGTTCAGCCCTTTAATACTCGAAAACGCACCAGCTTCAATTGTCGAGATCAGGTTCTCTTCGACAGAAAACCACATGTTTTGGGAAACCTCCATAGTTATCCCAAAGAAGAAACAACTTTTGATACTCTTCAGTTTGTTACCTTTGAGATCAAGAACGGCGAAGCCCATATTTTCGAACGCACCTTTCTCGATATCTTGGATTTTGTTGAAACTCAGGTCCAGAGTTGTTATTTTTCGCAACCCTGTAAAATAATGTTTCCCCAAGTGTGATAACCTATTGTGGGAGAGGTTGACTTGAGACATATTCCCCATGTTGCGAAAAGCTCCAGAATAAATTGATGAAATCATGTTCTTAGCAAGATTTAGATGCTTGATATGGATAGGTCCATCGAACCAGCCACGCCCTAAAGCCACTATCGCTGTCTGGGTGACTGTAAGCTTCTCTAAGCTTGGCAACCCTGACAAGCCTCCGACTAACAGTCCGTTTAAGCCTGCTCCTTCTATACCCAGAGAGCGAATTTGGGGGTATTTTACAATGGACCAACTTGGAAACTGAGTAAATGTTATTCCAGTCAGTTTGAGCGACACTAGATTGGACGGAAGGAGACAACAAAGGGCGCGTAGATCCCGAAGATGGGGCGCGTGGCAGACCAGGCACACGCCGCCATCTTTGTTTTGTTCCTCAAGGTCATTTGGACACTTTACAGCTTTACATTTGATTGGTTCTACTGCTTCACAGAGGGTTGAATTATGGAAGGGAAGAGAGAGGAGTTCTTTGGGAAATGTCATACATATTGAAACAAACAGCACAAATTTGGTGGTTTGTGAAAATGAAGCCATTGTTCAAAAGACAATCTGAATGATGCTGTCACTTATAACTGTTTTGAAATTTGTTTTTGTCACCTTCGTCGAAAATACGTGTGTTCAAATATGGGATTGCTTGTCACAACTGTTCTTCCTATTGATTTAGATATTATGATAAATCCTATGTGCTGTATATGATATGCTATGATATAATATGATATGATATGATATATGATTTGAGTTGAGTGGTGCTGCCGCAATGTTTGTCCTGAAAAAGGAATAAAAATTGTCTGTTTGTTTGCACATCAAGCTAAATAACATAATCCACGAAATAAATATCATAAACAGAGAAATTTGTGCCGGGGTGGAAAAGTCATAAGTTACAATAATTATTCAATGTTTCATGCATACTGTAAACAAATCATTCTGGCATAAACTTCTCTGGCTCTTGCTACATGTAGCAAGAGCCATATGTTACATGCCACATGTTGTTACTGTATCTTCTTTAAAGTTTGAGTTTGATATGTTGCACATCGGACGTTCAACATCTCGTATCACTACATAACAATGGCGATAGCGTGGGTGTGGGAAAGCCTGGTATCCGGTCTATCGTGGTTGTGCCAGGCTGTCTTCGGGGCTCTAATAGTTTCCCCCCGTCCAGCTCAACAGGCCACCCGGTGGGAGTGTAAAGCCTGTAGCAGCTGTGCTAGTACTAGAAGTAGAGTTTAGTACGCAATCATGAATCGGTGCAGGATCCGCTGGTCCCCGAATAGCGAGTAAGAAACTTAGCTACAATAGTACAAAGTACTCAAAACTTAGCGTCGTGTGCCAGCAAAATTTCCCCCCGAAAATGCAGGAAAGCGTGTTTCGAATTCAGAGGGTTAAAATTTCAAATTTTCCCGGGAGAGCATGCCCCCGGATAGCCTGGGTGCCATCCCCAGTAGTATATTCGCCAGCTCTATAACTGGTTATAGAGCTGGCGAATATACTACTGGGGATGGCACCAAGGCTAGCCCCCGGACCCCCCTACGGCGCTAGATGGGAAAATTGTTCCATACAAATCTCGCCCCCCAGTCAAGATTTCCTGCAAAGGCTTCTGCAATCGATGTACGCCACGATCGTGGTGGGGCTAATTGAACTCAAGTCGTGTAAAAATGTCGCATCTCTATCCCTCTTCTACAGATACTTTCACGGTCGATGTTCAGAAGAACTTGCACTTCTTGTTCCGCCACTCAGAACCTTTCAGCGTGCCACTAGGTTCTCTTCCAGTTCTCATCAATACACCGTTAACATACCTGTCTCCAAGTCATATTACAACAACAGCTTCTTTCCCCGGACTGCAAAATTATGGAACTCTCTTCCAAACAGCTGCTTTCCGTCCGATTACAATCCACAAAGCTTCAAAACAAAGGTCCATCGCCATCTCCTGACATAGCTACAATATACTCCCTTAAGTACCTCTAGCTCTATGCCTAGAAGTGGCCAAATATAATTGGCCTTGCATTGAGTGATACCGTTAAAAAAAAAAAACTACCGAGGAACCTAGCTGAGTCGGGCGGTGAAAATCTCCTGCGGTCCCGAAGAGAACCCGCCCTAACGGCGTTAGACTGGACAACAGGCTATAGGCTGTGGGATGGATAACCATGCATTTTGATAGCAGATATAGCAAATATAGCACGTCGGCAGCACTGATTTTTCACGGTTTTCGTTGGATGTTTGGTCAACGTTGTATCAGAATTTTGCCTGTTGCAGACGAAATCTTTTCCGACATAACATTTGGAAACTACAGACGGAGTGTTAACCTTATATGGGCAAATATGACCTTGTTATGCATAATACATTGCGGGGTTCGTGCAGGTAGAGTACATGTACGTTCTGCCGACGTGCTAGCAAATATGTCGTACCTCAGAGTGTAGCCACATGGACCTTGCAGTAGACCTTGGTGTACGTGTACGTCTGGTTCGCTCGCCCCAGGGTTATCTGACTGCCTCAGGGTCTGTGCGACAGTTGTGCACATATAGGGATGATTTTGCTGGTGCGTCACAGGGTTCTTAAATATGTACAAGTTCAGTGCCAACGAGATTGACTTGGATGCTCATGAATTTTAACATAAGACATGGTGATTTGATTAATATATGGATGACATGTGCGCGTGCATGAATTTTCGTCCGTTTCCAAAAAAAAGAGGTTTTTGACCTTACTGAAAATCGTACAAAGCGGCTGCAAAATGAGGAAATGTATGCCGTAAACGGAAAAATATACTAATAAAAATATACTAAAACGATACTAATACGCCGTAAAATGCCAACATCGATTCCAAAGGCAAAGAATAAATGAAAATGAAGAGTCTATTATTCGCCTGCTCTGTGTGTTTACTCATTTGTTCAATCTTCACGACTGCGTAGATTTCATAATGAAGGCAACCTTTTTTTGCCAAACATTTTTTTCATTCGCATGCTATTGGTAAATTTACCTCTTGTGCTCCAAAAGAACTGACGTGACTTTTGACCCCCTAGCTACTTGCTCTGGAATTACAGGGGCGTTTGTTGATTTGGAGTACGACAAACGAAAATATTTGGAGTACGATAACTCAAGAACAGGTTGGCGGATCGTCGTGATTTTTGGTTTGTAGGTACTAGTAGCCTAAGTAATGCTTGATATAATTAGATGACAATTCTGTAAATTAAAATCTAGTCTGCTGCCTTCCATGATAGGACTTTTTAAACTTGTGCCATGTGCAATTAAGAATGAGAGGATCTTCGACAGATATTAATTATGTGAATAAAGGTCTATGTTGCATATTACATCATTTATGAGGAAATGCTATAATTCCATAGTGGTGACTTTCATACTTGTGGCATTCGGAAGCAATTTGAAGGTTAACCTTTTCATTTAGCATAACTTATTCAAATCAACTCCATTTACAAAAATTATGATGAGATGGTATAATGGCTTTCTTCTTTAATATAAGACTATCACTGGGTGAAGAATGTGATAACTAATTTGAAATCAATGAGAAAAAAATGTAATTCGTCATTCGTAAAGGTTAACACTACTTTTTTTTAAATTATTCATTCACATAGAAAAAGGTACAAGGCATGGTGGTACCGCACTCAAGTGGAAAGCACTTATGTTCACGGTACCACTAAATAAATACATATAATAAAGAAAAAACAAACGCAACTTTAAGACAGGTAAAACAGTAAATACAGGAAATTCAAAAGCGCAAGTCCGGTTCCCCACCCAATGATAAATGATGGCAAAGATGGCAACATTACTTGGCGAAGGTATAAGATCGTGGAACTCTAGTTGTTACCCTGTGAGGCCAAAACAATTTCCTACATGTAGAATCTTGTTTTTATTTATTAAATAGAAAGAAGACAGGATGTGCTTCGTGATTACATCGTCATATTCATTACATTGAAGCACGTCTTTTAATATCATTATGCTTGTTGTCTTGTCAACAGTATTGTTGTGACAGGTGTGCAGACAATCAATGTGTTGTGTGCTTTAATAATACAGGAAACGTCACTGAATAGGCATCTTTTTTAAATTGATTTTTTAAAGAAAAAATAACAGAGAGCAAACCATCCAACAAGAAATGATCATCGAATAGAACAATAATAGTAATAGAAATTAAAATATGATAATAATGACAATGATAAATATTCAGAAAGTAGCAGTCTTATACTTATGATGATAACAAAACATTCGAGTCTAACCATCATAAAAGCAAAACAAAGTGCTATGTAACAGCAAAAATTTAGGAATTTCAAATATTAAAACGATACTAACAGAAATTCAAATACTATATAACAAAACTTAATATTTATGTATGTAAGTATCAAAGTGCAAAAATATTAACCTTGCCGTTCTGCTTTGATCAGGATATTCGAATTCAGGAATTGACCCCCGTGACCCTGCCCTGAGTCTCCACGGCATTAGTGTCATTCCCAAGTGAGAGGTTGTAACACATGATGGGTTCTGCCGTGTGTTGTTCACCCGTGACACTGTCCTGTCCCTCATCACAGGCCCGTACGTCTCCACATCCGTACAGAGAACCTGCAGCATTTTCTATATCACTGTGGGTCCCACCCCTGTCCCTCACCTCCCCATCACCAGGGACTGCAGTGCTTTCGGCAGTTGCCTGATTGCCGTTGTTATTGCGCTGTTCGCCTATGACACAGGACCTTGCCCCGGCCTGCCCGTACCGAGCACAAGTCTTAGAAATTCCGTAATGGCGAACGGCTTCGTCATCGTTATCATCTATCGTCCAGTAATACGGTTCATTCGGCGTGTTGTTGTTAGGCTGGTTACTCTGGATCTCAGAAACCGTGCCATTAATTGGTTCGTCGTGATTTTGTTGTCTGGCTGTCGTATCTTTGTCCCTACTGTTGTTTTGCCTGTTCTTTATAACTAAGATGGAGACTGTGAGGGTGATTATTGTCACGGGCAGGGCACATAGCGCCACCATAACGTACCAGTTTAGATATGAATGTGTCTTAGTCTGTTCAGGCAGTAGAACAATGAGTTCTTGTGTATAGGCACTTGTGTTGATGCTGGCAATCTTTGATGAGATGAGAGTGTTGTGGTCAACAGTAGTTGCCAATGGATGCAACGTTTCAGAGGTGTCAGGCGCCATATCTGTTGTTGGATGTTTCTGCAGTTTCCATTGAGATGAAGTTGACGTTGTGATGGTGAAAGATCGAGAGAGTGAAGAAGAGTATGGGGCAAAAGTTGGACTTGGCGATGATGCAACGGTGATGCTATGTTCCTCTTCTGTGGTGCTCCGTGGTACCTTTGACATAATTTGTGCTTGAGCCAACGCATCACCTGAAAAGGACTTAACACGGCAGTGGATAGACAAACCGTTCCACTTATGAACCAGTCGTTCAGGCAAAACTAACACAGACACCGTCCTGACGGCATAGTTTGGAGCGGTCAGGCCGTGTGAGCAGTTTGTAGTTACACTTGACGGTGTCTCCCATGTCCATCCACAAGCACCTATGTCGTGTTGGAATGAAATGTTGAAGTGCTGAGAAGTCAGGTTGGCGTTTCTTTCATCCTCACCTAAACCCGGCAATACAATAGTCGTGTTATCTGGTAGGACCCAGAAGATACTGCTCTCTTCCTCCCATGTCGCCTGGCACCGAAACTGTAAATCGTGATCAACAATGACGTCCTGCGTAATCTTCACCACAGGCGAGGGGCATGGCAAGACATTTGTGGGAATAGAAAAGATGTCTCCTCCTTCCATCTCCAGTGGGTACTTGCAGAGTATGCTTGTAGGGACAATGTCAAAATACTTTTTGCTCGACGTAGCGAACCAACGGTTGGCACAGGTGCAACGTAATGGACTGACTCCTAGGAACAGCATGGTTTTGTATTTGGAATCCTGCCTTGCAAGCCCCCGTAACCAAGACTCCCACAGAACTGCTAAACTATTTCCTCTTACATGCAAAGCACTTATCCCACCAAGACTGGAAAACGTACCTGGTTCTATAGTCGAGATCATGTTCTCTTCTAGAGAAAGCCAAATTATACCGATCATCCCGAAAAACCAATGCCTTTTGATACTCTTCAGTTGGTTACCTTTGAGATCGAGAAGAGTGAGGTATATATTTTTGAACGAACCTTTCTCTATAACCTGTATTTTGTTGAAAGACAAGTCCAGATACACCAAATCTTGTAGTCCTGAGAAATGGTGTTCCTCTAAGTGTGTCAACTGATTGTACGAAAGATTCAGGTTGGAGAGACTCTGTAGGCCTTGAAAAGCTCCAGGATGAATTGATGAAATCAAGTTCAAAGCCAAATTTAGATGCTTGACGTTGACCAAGCCATTGAACCAGCCACGTTTTATATCCCTAATCTCTGTCTGTCTTATTTGTATCCCCTGTAAAGAAGGAAAAGCTGACAGTCCCCCATCTGCAAGCCCATTCAAGGTTTCTCCTTCTAAATCTAGAAAGCGAAGGCGAGGTAGTGTACCAACGGAGGCCATTGAAAAGTGAGTAAATGTTATTCCAGTCAGTTTGAGAGATGTGACACCGTATGGAAGACCACACGAAAGTGACTGGAGATCTTCCGCATTGGGAGTGGTACAAACAGCACACGACCGTCTCTCACTGCTCATCCTATGGCCTTCTAGCTTGTTAGGGCAGCTGTTGTATTTGTGGATGGTGCATGTTACCGGTTCATACCCTTCACAAAGAGTGGAGTTGCGAAGTGCAAGACTTCCTTTTGGAAGAGTCAGACCTACTGACACAAGTATCATGAATAGTCTAATACTCTTCTTAATGGGGGTCATTTTTAAATATACCTTCTTTGTTGCCTCTGATGTTATTTTTTCTATGTTATCTTAGAAATACGTGTAGAGGTGCCCTCCGTGTTTATTTTGTTTCAGGGTCTCTTTGTGAACAGGCAACACAGACTACTATAACTACCTCTTCCAAGGCTACCCGTTGAAATGGCCGCCGACTGGTTTTGCAGACCTGACTGTATATGTTATTCAAAGCCAGATCAACAAATAACACGAAACCAAACCCTTGATGGCTATGTTGTGATGGGCCAACTGGTATGCAGGGATGGTCTAACCTCAGCAAATAACAGCAGGCTTGGCAACGTTGAGTGTCGGTTTCGTCCTGTAGAAAATAGAAGGAAAGAAAGACATGTTTAAAGTGTTGCACATCTTACACGAACACTCTCACATGTTTAAATATGGACATCGAATTCATTTATTTATTTATTTAGCTCATCTTGGAGACACCTGGGTATCGGGGGCACATTTGAGTCAAATTTGGCCCCCGAACACGCCAAGAACACTGCTGACGTCCTCCCGAATGGTTGGCTAGTGTTTGACTGACTTACCACGAACCTCTCGACCAACCCCCGCCGGAATGTTTTAAATATTTTGAAATATTCGGTTGGCCCAGCCGAATTCGCCGGACACCAGCCGACCGACTCCTAACCATGGTGTTCTGGAGGCCAAATTCGTCAATGTGTAACAGGGGCTTTACTGCCCACGGCACCTTCTTTCTGACGTCTAGACCAATTTCCATTCCTAAGTACGGATCCGGATGGGCCCTTCGTAGGTAAGTTTAATAACCTTGAGGCAACATGTAGGCCGACTGAGAAAGAGCAGTGTAGGGCATGTGTACAAGGCGTCAATTTTTTCCTCCACGCCAAAATAACCCCGAGATTTGCTGCTTCTCCATAACATGATGGAATAATAAGTAATGGTCGGGGGTATAACCACAGAACTGTATTCTTATTGATAATGTTGATTACATGGATGACATCCGCTGGGAACCCCAAAACTGATGCGAGCGTGCGAATGAAAAAAAAAATTGGCAAAAGAAAGCTGCCCTCATTATGAAATCTATGTGTTCATGAATTCGAAGGTTGAACAAATGACTAAGCACACAGTTTGGTATAATGGTGAATTCTTTGCGATAAAGCGGCAGTACTCAGTTCATATTGGCAGCCTAGTTTGGCATTATGTAAAGCACTGAGGTGGGCGTTGGGTCTACACAATTAATCATAAACCATATAAACACTACAAGAAATACACAGATTTAAAGCGACTCCTTTAGATAACCATCCGGCTTTCTCTCCCAGACCGGCAGTTGGCTTCAAGCTGTACTTCAGTTATGTCAGGGCGGCAAAACGAAGATAAAATATTCTGGACGAGGAAACCTGTCTGATATTGACATTTACTGCCATTTCTTAGTACATTTTCTACTGAGTAGTACTAGTACTAGCACTATTTTCTTCTACACGCATCATTATGTCATACTTGCAGCGTTTGCAATAGCACTAAAGAAGCTACCTGAGGCACCTCTTTATGTTTTTTGTACCACCCATCCATACGTTTTTGGATGTAGCATGGAGAATGGAGCCTCTGTTGTTTTTGCAATACATTATATTTCACACGTCGCATGTTTTCCTCACAGATATCAGAATGCCACGGGATAGGATTCATTGATTCAACGTACTACATCACAAGAATGACCAGAACATTGACTTTCAAAAATCCAGTTTTGCCGCACTAAAATTGCATTCGATACCTTTAAGACTGCTGCAGTGTACAACGTCTACTCTGATTGATAATCACAAACTTTGTGACGTTATCCTCTGATAAACAGTAAATCATGGACAAGTCTTACCTGAACCCTCAAAATGCTTCCTATGTAAGAATAAATGAAGTCGACTGTTAGCAGATCTACTCGAAGATCGTCTCAAGAAGTTTATATGTTGGAGCTCGAGACGTGCAGTGGGACCATGAGGTGGTCATCAGTGCTTGTGTAACGTGCGTTTCTGGAGGCGTGGCCTTAATAGCCTGGTTACCAGACTTATCTCCCGAGTCTATATATCCTCTCCTCAAATAGCAATTTACGGAGAGCATATAAACTCGGGAGCTAGAATAGGTCTGGTAAATAGGCTAACGTGGCCTTGCGAATAACGTATTACTATTCATATTGTCCCTGAAATTGAGCAACTGTAATACTTATTTTGGCAGCAGGATGTAATCTTGCCAGCTGTAGACGGATTTAAATTTCAAAAAGTTCAATCTGGCGAAGATTTGATACACAATTCCAACGATTGAACATCAAAGTTTGCGATACATGCTGAATTTAGGACACTCTTAGCTCTAAAGCTGTCCAATCTGTTGGTGACGTCTTGGTCGGACCAATTTCCTTTCCCACATAGAGTTTCGGATTTGCCCTACCACCATATAAGACCGGTAATTTTGAAGCGAAGGTAACATCAGTAGCTAGTGGATTCAGTGAAAACTATGTACATGTAGTGTGGTTTGTGGATGTGAAGGACGACATGCAGGGTTCGAAATAATCTCGCCCTGCAAGTCATGTTTTCTGTGCAATAGTTCTTATATACGCTAGGATGCCTGGCGTGCAAGTTATCATTATTTTGCGTGCAAAACGGCTCTTTCATTTACGTTTACAGCGGCCCAGTTTATGACCCGCCTCTGCCTTCCTCTGGTGTTCCGGCCTGTGTGATAACTGCCGGTACAGCCCGGGGTTCTATTTGGTTATTATTGACAAATAAATAACTGTGACATTTTGGTCATCAGAAAGCTTGTTTTAGATACATGGATCGTAAAAAACAGGAAAAGGTGCCCGACCTTGTAACGATAAATGTTTAAGATATTGTTTAACGTCGTATAATTTAAGAACAGTTTACAATTTAAAATCAATGATGTATATAGAATCAAGAGAGTCAATGAAGTGGATATGTTTATTGATTTTCGGTTTACGTTTACTTCCTATGTTGCAGTCAAAACAATAAATTGCCATAGAAACACCCATCACAATACTTTGATTACATCCGTTCAGTACAATGTATGTGAATTGACTGCCAGGCACACAATCGTCCCTATCAATAAACATTATATGGACGTGCTGCCCCTTCCGAGGGTGCCGCCAGACGTAATCTCCAAGCAGATCCCTATCGGTGGCAAAAAAGACAGTATCAAATTGGCCAGGCTGTATCCATATTAGCGAGAGAAGCTCCGCGGCCACCGACGGTGGGGATCAGGACAAAAAAACGGCCATATATAAAAAGGTAACGATCATTCCCCACAACCTCTGCTTGGAGAGTAGCCAGACGCACATTGTCACATTTAGTAACAAATCAGTGGACTATTACACCAGCTAGCGGGTTCTGTCAGAAGTGCAACGCCTAAGCAAACAGTTACAATACTAGAAAGGCCTCACCACATTTTACGACATGGCAGGGAAAGGAGAAACACAAGGGAGAACATCTACAGTTATATCTATAGTTAAATCTATGGACTCTTCAAGGTTTTTCTGCAAAAGAAGGACACATAGTCACACATAGTCGAATATGGTCCCCGAACACTGTCCAACCACGGTTGTGAATATATCTAGATCTGGAGCAAGGTCGGTAGTGGTTGGCTGGTGTTCTGCGAGGTTGGCTACTGCTGCGTCATCCGAATATTTCAAAATGTTCAAATATTTGGGAGTGGGCGGGAGGTTGGGCCATGGTTGGAGACTTGTTGGCTGGTGGTTGGGAGTAGGTCAGCAGTGGTCGGAACGTGGTTGACAAGTTGATTCAAATTTAACTCAAGTTTGACTTGATTCGTAGGCGTGACCTAAATATGTTCAGACTGCGCCCAATCTATCGCCAACCTTGGTTGGCTGATGGTCGGGGGAAGGTTCTGATTGTGTGCCAGGGCCGGGGCGTGAGCCAGACAGAGCATTGCGTCCAGGAACGGCGGGGGAGGGATATGTATAGGTTGACACACATTCAAGACCTTCCCCCGAACACCAGCCGACCACGTTTGGATGGCGTTCTGGAGCAGTCTCGTTGGATGCAGGCCCCACCTACCTTCACATACGAATCAAAACGAATTTGAGTTATACTTGAGTCAAATTTGACCCCCCCCCCCGAACACCCCCCGAAAACTGCTGACTTACTCCCGAATGGTTGCCTGATGTTCTGCTGACACTAGCCATCCAATCGACTGGCGCAGACGAATTGTAGCCCAATGATGCAACCTCACCAAACACCTGCGCCGACCTACTTCTAACAACGGTTGTGGTAGTCCAAAATCCATGCGCTTTAGAGACTGGAATTTGTAATCATGGTTTCCCTAGCCCGTGTTTACATAAGCCCCCGCTGCCGGGGGTAAATGGCAACCGTCTGGGCCAGGAGGTTATACAATTCTGTCTGTCTACGTGTTCTATTCTCAGAACTACTGTTGACAGCTTTCGTTGTCAACGTTCTTAACAGTCTCGCGTGTCAAAATAGTTTATTTAGCAGGAAGTCCAGATCTTTTTATTGATACAAATAAATAGAATGAGAACAAAAATGACAAAACTCAGCAGAAAAATGAAGGATGCACGTTTGTTTGTTTGGTTCATGATGTTTGTTGACCCAGATCCATAATGCATACAATCATGTAACGTTAACTCGCTAACAGTGGGTTTTAGTCACATGCATAGTCAATATCTGCGTCACTACCAAATAGGACGTATTTGCAAATTGGTAAGGACATCATGAAAAAGGCGACATTCGGGCGAGCAATCTAGCCGGTCTGAGATCTAGGGTTAGACAATGTCATGTCTTTTTTAGTATTGACTACAGGATCCAGACAAATGTGTGAAAGTATCAGATATGTGAATCGGATATCCATAAAGATTAGTTTATTGCAAAAAATAAATGCCTTAGGACCAATTGCAAGTGCAAAGAGCATGTATGAAAAATATAATATAAGAGACATCGTCAAACGTCATACATTCTACAATATACTAATTTTGTTGGGTTTGAATTCTTCTATGCTATATGTGGGTTCTTTGATTTTAAATGCAACAAGAGTTCCACGATCTCATACCTTCGCCAAATGATGTTAACCCTTGTGGTTGACAAATTATACAATTTTAATCATTGATTTTGTAAATAAGAGCCCCATTTGCATGGATTATCAGTTGATCATATTCTCCACCCAATGACAGCCTTATCTTAACAAAAATGCTATTATAGCCCTTCCTCATAAATTATGCAAATGAGGCCATGATTTGAATAAATTATGTTTGTTGATGTTCACCTTCACTTAACTTCCAAATGTGGCAAGTATGAAATTCCCAGCAGTTACAACTATGAAATTATAAAAAGTTGCCATTTATTATGCAAATTAGGTCCTCATTTACATAATCTATGTCCTCAGATGTTTTTTCTCGTTCTCACAAGTGATGTCACAAGTGTTTCATAGTTTTATTATCGAACAAAGCAGATTTATAGAACTTCCTCATTAATTATGCAAATTAGCTCCTGATTTGCATAATTGTCACCTGATCATGTCAAGCATCACTTCAACTACCTACATACAAAAAATCACGACAATCCGTCAACTGGTTCTTGAATTATCCTCCTTCGAAAAATTTTCAACAAATGCTCCTGCAGTTCCAGAACAAGCCGCTAGGGGACCCAAACTCGTGTCACTTCATCTCTATCCCAAGAGCTATCTGTCATCCAAAATTCGTGACCCTAGCATGTCCAGATCACGAGATATCAAAACCGGAAGTTCTGCTGCAGTACCTAGGAAAGCCGCCAGGGGGCCCAAAATCTAATCATTTCTAGGTTTCATGAAGACCTACCCACCTACCAAGTTTCATTCCAATCCATCCACTGCTTCTCGAGTTATCTTGCTAAACCACACACACACACACAAACACACCCACACACAGACAAACGCTACTGAAAACATAACCTTCTTGGCGAAGGTAATGAAGAAATGTGAACAGAGATAGATTTGACACGAGTATGAATAAAGTCATAACCTGACGACCTAGAAACGAAATGTGTCTAGAACGGATAGTTTGTATTAGCAGTAGCACTATTAAGATATATATCCAGATTGGCAACTGCCTGTAAGTTAATTTAAAACTTCTAATATGTGTAGATTTAAGAAGAAGATAAATCTAATATTGCAAAAGAAATACCCGATGGATATGCTTTGGGATTTGTGTGGATTTTATTTGATATGAAAAACAAAATCAATCCAGATTGTGTCCCTTTTTTCTTCTTTAAAGTAATTGATTGTCTGAATGGATTAGTATAAGTATAAGTATAAGGTTGAAAAAAATTTCTTATTTGGAAATATCATAAAGACCCATTGTGTGGGTGTATATAAAATGTCTGTGATATGTTGTCCTGGATTCATAATTCATAAATGATGAAAAGAGAGGTCTGCCTGTTTCGAAATCTGTGCATTTTTTGTGTCCCAGCTTTGCAGAGCGGCGTATATATGCCGGCGTGTTTTTTTTCGCACAGACGAAGTGACTTTTGGTACTTCTCTGACGCTACGACCTTATCGGGCATACTACAAAGTCCGATCTTCGAGATCTTCGGAAACAGCCTGAGGTAAAAGTATTCAGAGAATCAATACCTTCATATGTGTACTGAAGTACTCTTTGTGTACGTATTTCTCATGCATTGTTCTTAAGAAGCAACCGCCCTGCTGTGCTTTAAGCATGCATACCTGAAAAGAGTAGTAATTTCTTTCGTCAGTACGTAGTCAATATAAGTTGCTCAGTTTATTTTCATAGCTCAGTTTATTTCCATATAATCTTTGTATATGTATATTGGACTAGATATTCTAAAGAGGAATAATATAGCAATTGTACTTTGTAAAGACAGTGCGTATACAGGTAATGTGAAGATACAGCACGGATAAGAAATGGTGTAGCTACATGAATTTATGAGCAGAGACATTTTTCCAAGATACTAGACTTAGTGCAACATAGGTCAAATGGGAGCCGGAATAATTCATTGGTGTTAAAAATTAAAAAAAAAATCAGCAACGTACTAACATAGACTTAGGCATGTGCATGTTTTTTTTTCAGTATTAAACATTTTTCAATAGCTTTCAATGGCCATATATAGTATAAAGGATGACTCTCTTTTAAAAGAAATAGTACAACCTTACTTTTAATGCAGTAGTGAAACCTGGACTGCATTTTGGACATGAACAACATATTTTAACAAAATTCAGAATAAAACATGGCAGACAATTTAGTCGCAGTGGGAAACCAAATCGAAGACAGGGACATCATGAGATACTCTTCTCAAGGATGATACGTTTTCTTTTCAAGGCAAGGCAAGGCGACAAATATAGATGTATCTTGAAAGCAATCCATTTTTGTTGAATTGTGCTCTTCTAACATTATAGTATTTGTGTAATATTTTAAAATAATTGTTTTTGAAATGAAATCTTTTAACCTTGACTCGATTTCTGTATGCATATCTTGCTTAATGTTTTACTTTATCCCTTTTTGCAGGGCGAATACTGTAGTCCTCTACTGGTAGCAGACAGCTGATACATATTCAAAGCAAACGTCGCGTGCCTTTTAGTTCTTGTCCTTTTCAACACATTAATACAAAGCATCTATTTCCCATACTGGGAATTAGTGGGAAATATTCTGTATCAGATTTGATACAAAACAAGCCCCATTATTGTAACTTACTAGTGAGCAGACATTGGCACAACTACAATACTTTTTTCAAACACTGGAAAAAGCCGGTTGGATAGGGAATATTGCAGATCATCGTGCAAAAAATGGCTACATTTGCAAAGATCACCAGAGCTGTTATCGTGACTTTGTCAGTGTATCTAACATTTCCAAGAGGGGTTGTCTCTACCCGTATCCATACTGGCGGCCAATGTCTGATCTTTCGACGAGGTGCCTGCAACGATACGAGCTGTCCTAACTTTCTCAAGCCAGCAGACAATAAGGGTCGTAGGTGTGTCGTCTGCAGCATGTCAGGTTTCGAGAATTTCAAGTCACTTGCGTGTAACATTCCGCCAGGTGCCTTGTCACTCAAACTGACTGAAACAACATCCACCAATTTATCTGTTTATTTGGGCCCCGGTGATGCCATACAGAACATTCGCTTTCTAGACATACGTGGGGTGAATCTGACGAGACTGGAAACATCAGGTTTCGTGAGGTTCACAGCCTTAGAGCGGTTGCAAGTTCGCCAAACATCACTGAGCTATTTAGCTCGAGGTGGATTCAATGGTCTAAGAAATGTATTAGAACTAAACGCGTCATCCAATCAGATTTCATCAATTCACCGTGGGGCTTTTCAGGGACTGGTTAATACCTCTATACTCGACCTTTCACACAATCAACTGGTTAAGTTAGAGGAGCATTCTTTTGAATCATTAGAAATGTTGACAACGCTATACCTGTCTTACAACAAGATAGAGTTGATCGAAAAAGGTGCTTTTCAAAATGTTTTTTTCGGCAAACTTTGTCTGAGAGGTAACAAATTGAAGAGGGTGAAACGTCACTGGTTCTTCGGCATAAGAAATATAGGCGCACAATTATTTCTAGATGAAAATTTGATCACCGTTATAGAGCCAAAAGCCTTTCGCAGTCTTCAGCCCGTATTCATATTGAGCTTGGAACGCAATCCATTGACGATCTTGTGGGGGTCTTGGCTACGGGGGTTAGTGCGACCCGCAACGCTGTTTTGGGAAGGAACCAAACTACGTTGTACCTGTGCAAATAGTTGGATCGCAACCCATGGCAGGACTTACTTTACTCTAATCCCTGATAGTTTACCCTGCCACTACCCACTGGAGATGGAAAGCGAAGACATCTCTATTCCCACAAATGACTTGCCATGCCCCTCGCCAGTGGTGAAGATTACGCAGGACATTGATGATCATGATCTACAGTTTCGGTGCCAGGCGACTTGGGAGGAAGAGAGCAGTGTCTTCTGGGTCCTACCAGATAACACTACTATTGTGTTGCCGGGTTTAGGTGAGGACGAAAGAAACGCCAACCTGACTTCTCAGCACTTCAACATTTCATTCCAACACGACATAAGTGCTTGTGGATGGACATGGGCGACGCCGTCCCGTGTAACTACAAATTGCTCACACAATCAGACAGCTCCAAACTATGCCGTCAGGACGGTGTCTATATTAGTTGTAGCTGAATCAGTTGCCGGACAGTGGCAAGGGAGTTCTATCCGATGCGGTGTGAAGTCGTTCACTAGCACTCTCGAAGCTGGAATGCTTGTCCCAGACAATTTCAGTGCCCCGCATGTGTTACACAAACTGGCCACCTCTGAGAGAAGTAGCACGAGTACACCCACTTATTCAACAGTCGTCAACACTAAAGCCCACACACACCCCTTCATAGTATTTCTTCCTACGAGAGTTCAGACATATCTGAATCTAAACTGGTACGTTTTTGTTCCCCTGTGTACAGTACCGATTCTTGTCCTCTTCGCAGTCTGTATTGCTCTACGGAATAAACGGAATGTCTTTAGGGAGGAACACGCGATGGCCGAATTGCGAAGTAACAACAAACCGGACAATGCCCCCCAAAATCAGGCTGAAGTAGCTACCACGGATGGCACTTCAATTGACCCATATTACTCAACGATAAAGGATGAAGACGTCGACGAAACTGTTAGCCCGTACGGGATAGCCAAGGCAGGTGCCCAGTACGGCCGTGGGAAGAAAAGGTCGCGTAGTGTTAGAGAGAACACTGTCGCCGGTCCGAAATCCAGGTCAGAACAGTGCAAATGTTACAATCAGAGAGCTGGGGAAGATACTCGTATTACCCACGACAATGAGGATAGTGTAGAGAGGGACGCTTCATAGAACTCATGGTGGAGTATAGTACCTAGCTACTAGAACGGGTCAAAGGTAGTTGGAAGTTGATAGCGCCCCCAGTATCCCGTAGAAAAGGTTCCGTGATGTTTGGGAGAATGTCATAACAGGCATGAGATCAAGCAATGTATCTTTTGTAATCAGACATTCATAGAGACACTGCCTCTGATGGCGAATACTTTTTTAGGCAAAAAGATTTTTGCATTGCTAAGAATGACATATGTCGAAGGATCAATAGAGAATAGCGATAGAAGAATGATACGACTGACAACAATTTACTTTAGCAATGCGTTTTTGCTTAGATACGTATCATATTGTGTATATTTGTGCATGTGTACTTTAGCATATTACATTCCTAGAAAAAGAGAATAGGTGCGAAGTACGAATGTTACAAGCAGCAAAACTCTTTGAGGTATAACTATGTCACACTAAACATAAAAGAAAATGTAGCCTTTACATGGAGTTTTAAATACCTTGTGATAGGTTGTGTGTACAAATACGTTTGTTGACATCGTTAGTATTTCATGTTATTTGATGTTTTGATAATTTAAAATTTGCTGTGATTTTGAATGATTAGACGTTTGTCAACACATATATATATAAGGGCAAGCACGTCACCGTAGCATTGTATATAAGTTGTTACATTCGTTTTTATTCGATTAGCTTTTTTGATGTAACAATCTTGTATTATTGTTTGTTCCACATATAACGTATTGCTGAGCAATAGCGATGAAACGTATTTACGACTATCAACATAGTCCCTCATTCTAGAAATGTTAATTAAGAATAAGAGTGGATTGAGGGCTCTGTATCGTCGTTAGTGGGTTAAGATCCGTGTTTGGCATCAAAAGGAAACATGAAATAAAATATCTGCACCAAATATCCATTTTCCTATTGTACTAATTGTCTGCCTCTTAGTAATCACAACCAAGGTTCTATTCTTTCATGAAAGATTTTGTGGATAATCGCGATCGGAGCTAGTGAGCTCCATGGAGGTAATGAATACAGCCCCTATTGCTGGGACATATTACCATCATGGCACATTCTTATCGAGCGCACTGTCTGGGAACGAGAACTAGAACCACAACTAAATCCCGGTCAACAAATTCACGACCTTCCCCGAATTTGTTCCCAAACACCAGCCAACCGGGTTTGGCTGACGGTCGGGAGCACGCTTAGGCCACGTCTAAGCGTCAAAACGAATTTGAGTGAAATTTAAGTCAAACTTGACCCCCCGAACACGCCCCGAACAGTGCTGACCTACTCCCAAATTGTTGGCTGGTGCCAACCATGGTTGAATCTCGAGCTCCCACTGAACAACCCCCGAATGTTTTAAACATTGTGAAACACTCAACGGGCGCAGTCAAATAGTAGCCGACCTCGCGCCGAACACCAGCCGACTTTGCGCCGACCTACATCTAACCTATGGTTGGGGAGCCAGCCCAAGTCAAACGTCTGTTGTGAAGAGCCGCCTGCCGATAAGCAATATACGACAGTTAAAAATTGAAACTTCAGTAATGCTACATTGTAATTTTAGCTACACCTCCTCTCAAACCTTAAGACCCTTTGCACTTCCTAGTACAGTAAAAGCGGCGGAAATTTTCTACACTTACCTTGCTTACTTGACAAGTTGTTCGTCTTCTTAGCGTTCATTTTGTCAGTCACTATCTTGCTGCTGAACTGCTATTACATACGTACAGGTGACATCTCTCTCTCTCTCTCTCTAGAAGATCGTTGCCTAATGTCTAGTTCTCGCCAAACTGACTGGTTCCTCCTCCGTTCTCTCTTTTATATATTCCTGTGTTCTACATTTTAATCAGAGAACCAACTCCTCTTATTGGTTAGAAACATGTCCAAATCGGGCAAAGAAGGCCTTCACATTTTACTCTTCTACAGACACATTAATTACTTAGCAGATAAAAATGGAAACTTATATGAAATATAATGCCCCGCTTTTCGAACATGATTACAACACCAAAGGTGGTTTGATAAAACTGTTGTGTAGACAAATGAAATCAGAAATGTAACTAGGTTACCACACCAACTTCAAACGATACTTCTGAATTGATTTGTCTACTCGAGGCCCGATAAGGCTACAATAATTTCATCTTTATATATATAATCTCCCTTTGTAATTATTATATAACTGCAACACCAAAAGGGTTTTGATTAAAAAAACGTTTTGTAGACAAACGACAACAGAAATGTAACTAGGTTACCACTCCAACATCACACAATACCTTTGAATTTATTTGTCTACTCGGGGCCCAATAAAAATAAGGCTATATTAATTTCACTTTTAGAATATAATCGGAGAGACCATCGAGGTACTGGAATGCATCCAGAGGAATGCTGCCTGATTCCAAGTGGAGCTCTGCTATTTCCTGGAGCCCAGGAAACCAGTCTGGGTGGGTCTACAGTCTGCAGCGGATTGTTCTCTAGATTCAAACTTTCAAGAAAACCCAGGTCCATGAAAGACCCTGCATCCACCCTCACTATCTCGTTATTGGACAAGCTCAGCATGTGGAGACTTTTCAAACCAGAGAACCAATTCTGCCTGATGTGAGTGAGTTTGTTATAGTCCAGGTCCAACATCCAGAGGCTTGAAATTCTGGACAAAACATTCTCTTCAATATCAGCGATTTCGCATTTCACTATGGCAAGAGTCGCGGTACACCTAGGACAGAGGCTTACCAGAAAAATGCATGATGCAGATCCAAAGTCAAACGTCTGTTGTGAAGAGCCGCCTGGTGATAAGCAAAATAACGACACTTAAAAATTGAAACTTCAGTAACATTGCAATCTGTTCAATTCTCACTACCCCTCTTTCACAGAACGAAGAATGGATACTCTAACTTCTAATGTATTGATCCCAATCACACCACGCGTACCCATACGTAAAGACTGCTGTAGCTACAGCATACATGGGAAGGAAATGATACAAATGTCTATTATGTACGTTCTACGATGTACGCCTGTGTGCGTTATTTCTAACCAGAACTATCTGACATAAATGAATCATGAACTACATATATATATATATATATATAT